AGCCTCTCAGGTAGCTGGGACTACAGGTGCCCACCACAATGCCCAGTCATTTTTTTGGTTGCAGTTGTCATTGTTTTAGCAGGCCTGGGCTGGGTTCAAACCTGCCAGCTTCAGTGTACATGGCCGGTGCCCCACTCACAGAGGTACGGGCGCCAAGCCTAGACTTGGGATTTTTTATTATGTGTTATAAAATCTAGGATGTTCTTAGTAACCTGGATGAGAGTATTAGCCCCACTAACAAGTTAAAAATAGATTACTTGATTGATTATTTTCCCGGATATCTGAATGAAGGTGGCTTATTACACTCATGTTTGTGAATAATTATTTTCAACTTTTCTATTTATTATATATAATAGCAAAAGGATTCAATTTAATAATGTCTTATTATTTTCTCCTCTTCAGAAATTTGCAATTATTTTTGTTTTAAAAAATAAGTAGGAAGAGCAATAACTAGATAAGGATCCAGAAAGGTTTGGTTTCAGGCTTGATTTTTTTTTTTTAAATGAACGAATGTTTTTTATTTTTTATTTATTTTTTTCTTATTTTTTATTAGATCATAGCTGTGTACATTGATACTGTCATGGGGTACAGTGTGCTATTTTTATATACAATTTGAAATAATCTCATCAAACTGGTAACATAGCCTTCATGTCACTTTCTTAGTTATTGTGTTAAGACATTTATATCCTTCATTTAGAGAGATTCACATGTACCCCTAAAAGATAAACCACAGATGTGATCCCACCAATCACGATTGGTGGGTTCAGACTTGATTTTACTAAACCAAATGCCAAACAGAATCTCTGGTTCTGGTAATAATGTACTAATATCTGTAAACTCATCTACATACTCGTGGACAAGAGTGGACTATAATATTCTCTAAAGCTCCCCTTCTCGCCAGTTTGTCCTGAAGTCCCTGGCTATGCTGCCATTAATTTATTCTTACATTGCTTAATGATGTCCATTCTAGCACTTAAGAGAGGCCCCAGCAACTACATTTTGTATGTCCCCATCCCATACCCTATTTCCACCATTATATTTCTTGAAGAGAAAGTATCTTTATGTCCAACCAAAAGCTTATTTTTCAGAAAACAGGTGATACTAAATCTACAAAGAATGGGCTCCTCAACCTATATTTTTATTTTATTTTCTCCCTGTCAGGAATATTTCAAATTTCTGGTATAGTCCCCGAGAATTTTTAAATTTGTTTGACATATTTTATCATGCGATATAGACTAGTCAGGCAAATGTATCATCAGTATGTTCTATCAACTGATTGATGAAAAGCACCTGGATTTTTGATAGCAACAAATAGTGTATCTTCCATATTTACTTGAAATTAAATCAAGATGTGTGGGTCAGCCTCTTTCACTGAGAAGTATGTAATATCACTTACATTAAAACAACTGGCAACCAGAAAAGTCACAAATCATTGACAATTACAAGAATAAAATGGGAAGTCTCACCGAAGAGCAGAGATAGCAAGATTTTCCCCCCTACTTCTATTCTTTTCCTGCAATGTGATGAAAGAAGGAAAGGTCTGGACTATTTATCACTTCCCTCTCTTCATTCATACTGACTCAGTGTGCCAGAGTGTCAACAAGGGTGGCACTTTCTTTTGCTACTGGCTTCTGCTTAGTCCCAGGATTTGGCATGATGTCAGTTTCAAGCTTGCCAGCAGCTGTAGAGGCTTTATTCTATTTTATTTTCAAGGTTACAAAAGAAGTGGTATCATTTTTAACTTGAAGCACAGAAGGTAAGAATATTAAATGGTTGATACACTAACAATTTTGGAAAGGAAAAGATTTCTCCCTGCCACGTTGCATCAACACTGAACAGACTTAGTATGCAGACTCTGTCAAACAGGAGTGAGGGGCCGCGGTGCTCTTGACCTTTGCAGGCCTACAGTTAGGCTATTGTTTATACACAGTGTGGTTTTCTCTTCAGCAAAGTATGTGCTAATGGGACTTATTTCTGCAGTTGCATCAAAAAGCTTTTGCTTTTTTTTTTTTTTTTTTTTGAAAACAGAACTAGTCTATCGGGATGTGTATATCTTACCGGTACATGCTGAGGCAGCCAACGGTTTTTAAAAGTGTGACTTTTGTTTTTTCTTTTGAGTAACTAAGATTACCAAAAATACACGGTCAACAGGTGTTTAATATGAAAAGTAATTCCTTAGGGAAAGGGAAACAAAACAAAAATCCTTTATGATTAAAAACTGTAAGCCCAGGAGTTGGAGATTGCTATGAGCTGTGACACCACAGCACTCTATGGAGAGCAATAAAGTGAGACTCTGTCTCTAAAAAATTAAAAAAAAAAAACTCAGAATTTAGTGTAGCAATAGAATTTAAAATATTTAGAATAAATAGAGTCTTTAATTATTAAAAAAGGAGTTGGTATATCTGGGTGAATCTATAATCTACAAAGGTTAGAATAGGGTGACCAGATTTTAACATTGGTAAGGTGGGACAACATGGCGGGGGTGGGGCGGGGGCAGGGCAGGGCAGAGCCTGACAATATGCAAACTTTGATAAGCGGTTCTCGATAATCACTTCTCAACAATTATTTGTTATTATTACAGTTTAACATTATAAAATTAACAAAAATAATGTAAAACTCATATCCTGGCAAAATAGCCACATGGCAGCCGAAAACTGTATATTCCCTTCCTGTTCTCCCGCCCATTCGTGCCTTCTTTCCAAAAATCGGGACTTTTTTAAAACGCTGTGGGACATGGGACTAATTGTTAAAAAGTGGGATGTCTGGTCACCCTGAGTTAGAAAGATATAGAACATAATACCAAATGCATAAGTTAAAGACCCAGAGTGAGCACACATGGAAATATAGCAGCGGTTCTCAAACTGTGGGTCGTGGGAACTGTATTAAAAGGTCATGGCATTTGGAAGGCTGAGAACCACTGGAATACAGGAAACCAAAGTCAAGAGAAAGATTTACAAAAGCAATATAAAAATTTCAAAGAGCAAAGTAGCATACAAGTGTGAGTCTTTTTTTTTCTTTTCTTTTCTTTTCTTTTTTTTTTTATAATAGCCTCTGTCTCTTAATGTCATTGTAAAGATTGAACAAGTTAGGGCAAGTAAAAAGCCAGGTGCACAGCCCAAGACATAGGTAGGAGGCACTCGATACTATAATAATTTGGTATGAGAAAGAGCTGACCCCTGAGCCATGTTTTGCACAAGTGTGAGTTTTTATCGTCTTGAATTCAAATTGCTTTTATCTGAACTCCAGAGTTGTAAGCTACTCATCTCAAATGGCTTTGTGTATTTAAGAAATTGCAATCCATTTCTTCAATGTAATATAGAGAGAGACTTAAAGACTAGGAATAGATGTTAAAATTCCCAAGGTGAAAATTCAGGACATCTCTTACTGGGAAACTGAGCACTGCCTTCTAGTAATGTTGGAATTTCTCAAATGCAATAAATACTAAAGTATAGCAAGATGTTAATGGGACTATTTATTAACAGGTATATGAGCTGGAATCTATTAGAATTTAAAGATTTTCTACATAAATATCTAAAATAATAATAATTCACTATTTCTTCCCAATGGTGTTCTACTTTCACCAATGAAAATGCATCAGTATACTTTCTTTCTCTGTATTTCTTCTGGCAGCGTTCCAGAAGATATTTAGTTTAGGAGACTAGCCCTTCTTTGGAATATCTCATTGAAGACTTTTTATCTTATTGAATATAATAGGCATTTTGGCTGTTTACAATTTTAACAATAAAGTACTAGTGTGTTTCCAAAATGAATAATATGCAATTTAGGTTTGGTTATAAAAGAGAAAAAGGCAGGCAGAGGCTGTGGCTCAGTGAGTCAGGCGCTGGCCCCATATAACAAGGGTGGCAGGTTTGAACCCAGCCCCCCCGCCAAACTGCCACAAAAAAATAGCCGGGCATTGTGCCTACCAGCTACTCGGGAGGCTGAGGCAAGAGAATCACCAAAGCCCAAGAGCTGGAAGTTGCTGTGAGCTGTGATGCCACAGCA